TCAGACCTGTTGAGTTCATTCACCGTATAAATTGACTCCAGGAACTCTACTGAGCTCAGAAAAACTCGACCCCCACTCTCTGAGTATACAATGCATTTTTCTAAGTGCTATTAGAGTGTTTTAGGTAAGAGAGTGATGTGAGATGAACTATCCTTAAAAAGGTTGGGGGTCCAGTAAAAAACGGATAGAAAGAGAACAAGAGAGGAAGCCGAGGGGCCACTGTGCATATCATTGCCCTCATCCAGGCAAGAGATGGTGGCAACTTGCACCAGTCCTGTTAGGGATTTGCCCCCAAGCACAGGACCCCAGGAACCCTGGGCACACCCACCTCTCAGGCCTCTGTCAGCTCTGCCTGGGAAAGGGACCCTTCCCTTGTGGCCGGCTTGTGTCTGAGGGGCTACAGAGCAAGTCCTCAGGGAGTCTGCCTCTGCTGGGCCCTTTTCCTCAGCGACCTCAGAACCTGCCCTTATCTTCCCTTCCACTGCTCTATGATTTCATGCCCAAATCCTTGACCATTCCATGTCCTCTCACACCTCCAAGCATTTGCGCAGGCCTTACTCCACCACCTCACCCTTCTTCTGTGGCTTCTGAAATCTCCCACCCTTTCAAGGTACAGCTCAGATGACACCCTATGGGCATCATAACTCCCGCCAGAATTAATCTCTGTGTTCCCATGGCACCTTGCTCACACTAGCAAATAGTCATGATTCCATTATTCTACTCTGTCTTACGCAGAATTAGTTGTTGACAGTGAACTGGAAAATGTTTATATACAGTACATATCTTGCCAGGTTATTTTAAGAATTTATCGACATGTCGGGTAAAGCAGCCTAGTACATTAAATTCTCCCATTTCCCCCCTTATGCCTCTGCCACTAAATTATAGCTTCAGCCCTGGCTGGTGTGGCTCAATGAATTGAGCACCAGCCTGTGAACCAAAGGGTCACTGGTTCATCTCCCAGTCAGGGCACATGCCTGGGTTGCAGGCCAGGTCTGCAGTAGGGGGCGCACAAGAGGCAACCACACACTGATGTTTCTCTCCCTCTCTTTCTCTCGCCCTTCTCCTCTGCCTAAAAATAAATAAACAAAATCTTTTAAAAAATTATGAGCTTCAGAAAGACAGAAGCATTTTATTTATCTTAGTTTCTCCTGTGCCTAAATAATGCAGTATCTTGCCTGTAACAGGAGCTAATTAATTTGGTTGATTAAATTAATGGGCTAGAGAAAGTGAACAAATGACATTAACTCTTCTGGTTGTTGGAAGTGTATTGTGCCAAGAAGTGATGTCTGATGGAGATCAGGTTTTGTTAGAAGGTCAGTTTGAACTGAGGGATAAGAAAATGTCACCTGAGGCACAATGCGACATTTTGTAATTGAAAGTGTGCGGGTGTGACTCCCCCTTTTGCAGAGAATTCAAATATTAATATTTGAGTTCTCTGAGACTCTCCAATTTTTAAAAACACAGTTAATGGGAACTGAATTGTGTGGAGTCTTAAGTGCTCCCACTTGAGACAAATGGTTCTAAGTGAGAGTCAGCAACTGCTCTCTCTATATAGTTACCAGGCTGCTCAATTAACAGGCTTGCCTTGAGTTGAATATTCTGGAAGAGATTTAAAAAATTTTATTGAGTTATCAAGAGAAGAGTATGGTTTCTCAGTTAATTTATGGTCATACTTTCCAAGCACATGCTTTTCTTAATAATATTCCCTCTGGTGAAGAGCAATAACATTTTCTCTCTGAACTAGATCATTAGTATTCATCCAGCCCTGTATCTACCACCATTAGGTGTTTTGTTATTTACTGAATTAATTGATATGTTATAATGAAAGGGCTTCGGGGTCACACAATCCCACACAATCTTCTGTCCAAGGCCAATATCATAACTCCCCCAAACTGCCATCTGCTCATGTCGAAAATGGGGAGATACCCTACTTGCTGAATGGTTGAGCAGATTGAGTGGGACATGGTACCCTTCAGAATCTCACCCAGCAACTGCACACCGCAGTCACTTGCACCCAGGAGGAATCCTGGATCCCGCAGCAGGAGAGAGGAAGGTTTGCTGGCCCTGAAGCTTTTGTCCTCAACTACCCTGCAGGACCTTACTCCACCTGCAGTGCTGGGCAGAAGAGGCAATGTTACTCCCAAGAATTGGGGCTTATCAGCTCTAACTCTAACCATGCTATTAGCTGAGACTGTTTGAAAGCAACAGAAACCCACTCAAGGTAATGCAAGCAAGCCAAAAAGGAAGGGGGAGTGCTTTCTGAACTTTCATACTAAGACACTACTAGGACGGGGACACTTTTCCCTGGCTCCCGTTGTTTCCTTCCATGTAGAGGGACTTCTGTGAGCCAAATACTCCTGGCTCTCCCCTGCCCTCACCTGCTCACTCCCAGCGGAAAGGGGACTCAGGTTCATCCCACTACATTCAGGAGTGAGTGTTGCATCCAATGCCAAGGTGGGCTACAGGCTTGAAATGGCAACCAATAGTCCCTCTATCCAGGACCCTCGTCCTTTCTCTTGAACTACTTCTGTCTGCATAGGCTGCATTCTTCTCCATCCAATGACCCTGTCTGAAAGCTGGTTCCTCATCAGGTAGAGGGCAGCTGACCCACAGCTCCCAGGACTGTGGCCCAGACCCATCCAGTCCACCTAGGCCAGTGGGTCACACAGAACAGACATGGCTACCAGGGGAAGTTTGTGAGAGTGGGGAGGTGTGGTGTGCTGAGTTGATACCCCAAAAAGTGCCTTCCACACCTACCCCCTGGGCACCCTCAGTTGCTTCATCTGTAAAGACAGGTTAATGATGGCAGCTACCTCCTAAGGCCCTGAGGATGAAATGGGATGGCATTTGTAGCATCAGCCTACACATAGTAAGTGCTCAATACATGATAATGGTCAGAGGACAAGGACTGCATCTACTTGATCCCTGTACCCAATGCCCAGTGGAGGACCAGCACATATGAATATGGCTGGGCACCATGAATAATCACAGAATAAGTAAATCTTCAAATCAATGCCAACCACCTCCCTCCTTCCCTCTCTGTTTATAATAATGCAGCCTGATATCCCATTCGCTGTGAGGGCAGTGGGTCAGGGGTACTGCCAACCCATTATCCAGAGCTCAGTGCCAGACACCCACACACCCTCACCTGTGCTGCTGAGTCCACGCACACTGGGCTTTCTGAAACCAGCCCGTCATCCTTGTTCCATTCTGCACTGTGGGATCTCTCTGGATCTCTGTCCATCACCTGTAGTTGATGCTTCCTTCATGCTGTCATCAAGTTGGTGCTGAATGGAATACTTTGTGGCAGAATGAATAGATGGAAATCTATGGAGTGTTTCGACTCAGTATTGAGTAATGGTAAAGTTGCTGACTCTGGGGTCAGACAGACCTGAGTTCTGTTTTCAGGTCCACCGCCTAAATTTTCTGTGCCTCAGTTTCCTTAATTGTAAAAAGGGAACACTTAGCATTTTTCTGGGTGTAAATAATAATGACAGATACTAATAGTCCTGCATGTAATGTGCTTAGCACAATGTGTGGCATCCAGAAAGGACTCAGGAAACAGGGTCCACAAGTAGTAGCGAGAAATGAATGCTGCCATCATTGCTCTGAGACACAACACAATACAACTGAAAATACATGTGTCAAATAACAAAGCAGGTATTTAGCAAGAAGACCCACAAACAGAAAGATGCACAGAGAGCAAGTTTGAATGGCAGCTTGGAGAAAGGGGAAGGGGATTGGGAAGGGCTTGAAGAGGTGGAGAGGGGAGTGGAAAGAGGTGATAAAAAGAAACAAACAGGCAATGGAAGGTGAGGGAGTGGAGTTGCTCCTGGCCCAGGATGCAAAAGGCAACCAGCAAAGCTATGCTCAGGGATTTGGCGGCAGGATTCAGGAACAGTTTGGAGAGAGTCAGCCAACACTCCTGTGACATGGGAGCTAAGAACCCTGATTGCTGGTACTGTGTGGGATAACTATCCAGTTTGCCAAGAATGTTCCAATTGCAAATTGGAAAATCCCCCATCCTGGGAGCCCTCTCAGTCTCAAGCAAATTCAGGATGATTGCTCATGCTAGAGATGTACACATCCCACCAAGATGGGCCACCAGATACTCCCCTGGGTCTGCAGGGTTCCCAGACAGCCCAACAACCAATATTCTGTGGGGGAGCAAGGCAGAGGGAGCTCTCAGGCATCTGCTCTAAAGTTTCCTCCATCTTGGTCCTTCCATCATGCAGAATACAGACTTGCTTAGCTTGTCCCAGGTGGATAATGCACTGGGCTCATCTACAGAGGTATCTCAAGCAAACTGTCTCCTCTCTCTGTTTTTCCATCTAGAAAATGGGTGTAATCTTTCTACCTGATGTTAATTTAAAAATGAAAAGGACTTTCAAAGTGAGAGGCAAACAAGCAAGTATTTAAAATCAATAAGAATAGTTATTCAGACACACATACTGATACAGGAAGAAGCCCAAATAGTGTTCCGATTAGGAGACAAAAGAAATGGACATTTATGAGAGGGCACAGGGAACAACTACATCAATGGAAGGGAGACATCTTTATTGGTGAAGATAACATAACATTGTGATGTTAATTATAAAGAACGTTTTTAATTTCCAGTCCGGTAGTCATCATCTCATAGTTATATCTGCTTTCTTGTTATCTTTGTAAGCAGTTTTTGGGGAAACAAGGTTGCTTTAGTCTCAGTCCCAAAGTAATTTTGCCCTGTTTTACCATTTCAAGACAGTTTATCTGGCATGGCAGCTCCAGCTCCATTTTAAAGTGGCTCCATGTATTATTTCTTTCACATTGGGGTATTACGGTCAAGGTCAAATGAAAATACACGAGTGGGCTTTGATTTAAAGTGTATATTCAATATAAAAGCAAAGGATTTGATGTCAGAAGAACCTTCTCCACTATGTGGGAAAATGTGGGAAGTGGAATACTTGGCTGGAGGGGGAGTGGTCTTCACTGGCCTAATTCTGCGTTTCCCCTTCTTTCAGGGTGGAAGCAAGTGAAGGGGCTCTCTGTTCCAGAAAGAGGGCCTCCATCATGGCCTCCATGTTGCTTACCCGGTGGCTGGCCTGCAGCTTCCAGCGCAACTACCGCCTGCTTGTGCCCGGTAAGCCCTGGAGTCTTGACAAAAAGTAACTGGTCCTAGCAGAAGACGCAATGCAGACTAGGGATTCTGGGCTGGAAGAGTCCTTGGGGACACAGGCATTGGTCAGCCAGTGTTTCTGGGGCTGTCCCACCATCCCCCATGAAACAGTTCCCATCACCACCCCTCCCATTCCCCTATCCCTGCCACATGCTTCTGTCCACCAGCAGACAGCTCTGCAGTGGGCAGGGAGCTGACCCCACTACCTGCTTGCACGGAGGTTGTGGTCTCACAGTGAGAAAGGGCCCAGGCTGTCCCCACAGGGATCATCAGACAAAACACACAGCTAGCGCTGCTGCCAAGAAGCAAAGAAAGCAACAAAAGTCACTGGAATTGATGTAAAGGCTAGCTGTGCTTCACGGGCCCTGGACAGGAGGTGGCCTCCCTGGAACATACCATACCCACTACCCTCTCCCTCACCTCCTCACGCCCACACCCATCCTGCCAGCAGCACTAGCAGCTCTTTTGTCCCGCAGTCTCTCTCAAATGCTCCCCTTTCTCTCTGCCTCACTGAGTGCAGGCAGCTTAGCCAAGTGAGCTTCGTCAGTGAGCACCCTGCTTGCAGGATCTCTTGAGACCTTGATCCCAGTGGTCCCATGAGGAAGGCAGGAGAGAATCCCATTTTACAGGTGAGAAAACTGTGGCTCAGAGAAGCAGAGCCATTTGCCCAAGATCACACAGCCACATGAATTCGAGTTATCACCCCTTCTCTGTGTGCCTCCATGTGGCTCTGGGAGAGGGACAGGCTAGCACTAACCTCCCTTGGGACACCTTGTGCTTCCAATCTGTCCCCAGTTCTCTAAGAGCCATGTGCTTATCATCATGGTGTCCCCTTATTGTTGTCAGTCCTGCCTGCCTTCTGAAGACAAATTGCTGGCCGCATCCTTGGTTCGCTTATTTGTATCCTGGGTGAGATAAAAAGCAGGAATGTTCACTCCTCTCCTGGGAGTATTAGCAGGCTTTATTTTAAAATAAATGTTTTATTTGGAGATGATTTTAGATATACAGAGAAATTATAGAGGTAGTACAGAGAGATCCCATATTCCCCTCACCTGGTTTCCCCCCTTGTTAACATCTTACATCATAAGGATATTCTTGTCCGAACTGAGAAACCAACCTTGGTACATCACTACTAACAAAACTCCAGGCTTCTGTTTGGATTTCACCGGTTTTTCCCTTAATGCTTTCTTATCCCAGGATCCAATCCAAGTTTCCACATTGCATTTGTCACACTGCCCTTTTCTCCTTGCTCTGTGACAATTTCTCAGTCTTTTCTTGTTCTCAACCTTGATTGCCTTGAAGAGTTATTAGTAGGTTTTGAGGTGTTTTGTTTTATTTAATTATAAGAGAAGCATATCAATGCTTACTCATTATTATGTTAAAAATAAACTGAAACCAGAATAATCTAGGTCTAGTGTGCACCAAGTAGGAGGGAGGGTTGTGGGCAAGGAAGACTCATTCAGTCCATAACCAGTATTGTTTAGCCACCTACTAGGTGTGGAGTGCTGTACTGGGTGCTGAGCACATGTGGCTCAGCCTTTGAATGTCATTCCCAAGGCCATCTGAGCCTTCCCAGGGAGCCTTCCCAAGGAAAGAACAATGGATTAAGACTTGTAAGATTGGGCTACCAGCTTCATCCACCACCTATTAGCCCAGGGAACCCAACAATGGGCAGAACTCCAAGCTTCAGTTTTCCCATCAGGAAGGTGGAGATAATAATGACATCCTCTCTGCTTCACAAGTTAGTTGTATCAGAAGTAATGGTTCATGTGAAAGCACTTCATTTATGTTTACAAAAAAATGAGGAGTGTCCTAACTCCCATTTTTACAAGCATGGATATGGAGACACAATGCAAAAAACAAACAAACAAACAAAAAACGGAAGTGGCTAAATTAGAATTACTCAGCTCCGCATTTTCTTGGCTTGAGTTGAATCTTTAGCACACTTGTGTGAGACTTAGAAAATCACACCATGAGATATTTTTTCTTTTGGCCTATCAATTTGGCATATCCGATAGGATTGATAGATGATGGATGGATGGATGGATGGATGGAGTCTTTTAATATTAAAATACAGTGCTGACAAAGATAGCAGAATGCGTGCATTCTCATACACTGCTTATGGGCAAGTAACAATAGAAGAATAGTTTTAAAATTATAGGAATAAAAGCTTATCCTTAACCCATTTAGTCCTTGCCACAACTCCATAAAACAGGAAACTGAGACTCAGAGAAATTAAGTAACTTGCCCAGAGTTAGCAAGGGCCTGAGCCAGTGTGGCCCTAGGACTCACACCCTCAACCAATGTATTAGTTATCTATTGCCTTATAATAAATACCCTTAAACTTTGCTAGTTAAAATAATACATGTTTATTATCTCCTAGTGTTTGTGGATTTGGAATCCAGGGCTAGTTTATCTGGATCTTCTGGCTCCAGATGTCTCACGAGGGTGCAGCTAAGCTATAAGCCAAGGCTGGGCTCATCTGAGGCTCATGGTCAGAGCCGTGGGTCCCCTTCCAAGCTCACTCATGTGATTGTACTGGATTTGGGACCCAGTGGACCTCTTCCTGAATCATTTAACTACATGGCAGCTGCTTCCTCTGAGTGAGGGAGAGCACCCAAGTCGGAAGCCACAGCCTAGTGCCATACCCACTGTGTGGAGATGCTTCTGTGTGTTTCTCACTCTTTGATCACCACAAAGCCATTAAACATGGGACTAGTTCATAGCCTGAGACAGTGTTCCCAATGGCATCGTTTCATGCCATACCCCCAAAAGTTTATAATATTACATTGACAAACAATACAGAGGCTGGGAGACTTGACTGCAAAATGGTTATCTCTGGGTAGTGAAATTAGATGTGGATTTTTTTCATTGTTGCTTATTGATATTTCCTCAATGAGCGTGTTATCAAAAAGTAAGTAGGATGAACAGTTGGGGGGTGAGATAAGATTATTTAAAAGAGAAGCAGAGCAGACAATTCCAGGTGAGCTTGACCTTGACTTTGACCAGGCTCACACCCTTACTGTTTGGGAAAATGACATTCAATTACCCTCAGTAGAGATCAAAAGGACATTAAAAGCATTTGATGGCTGTTTTTATACTTCGAAGTTAAAAATTGACTCTGTGGGCCTGGCTGGTATGGTTCAGTTGGTTGAGGCATCGTCCCATAAACCAAAAGGTTGTGGGTTAGATTCTCAATCAGGGTACATACCTAGGCTGTGGGTTCATTCCCCAGTCAGGGTGTGTATGAGAGGCAACCAATCAATGTTTCTTTCCCACATCAATGTTTCTCTCCTTCTCTCTCCTACTCCCATTCCCTTTCTCTAAAATCAATAAGCATGTCCTCGAGTGAGAATAAAAAAAATTGACTGTGGATCAGCATGGGAACTGAGGGTGGTGAGCATCACTACTGCACCCTGAGGGCTGGGCTGGACTTACCCACTGTGCCTCATCTTGTATATCAAGGAAGACCCTTGCCTTCTGCGTGTACTGCTTTATTTTTTATGAAATGCTGGATCATTCAATATTAATTCTTTTTTTTTTTTTTGCTTCCTTAGTAACCCTAACCCTAGTGCTTCTGATAGTAATTTGCCTCTAGGGGATACAAGTTGTTTTGCTGCAAATGTTTCACTTCCAATATCTACACTAGATGACATCGAAGACTGCATCAGTTACATTCAAATTATCTAGGAAAGTAGAGGTCAGGTGGACAAATTTCTAGTTTAACTACTCACAGCTTTATAACTTTGGGCAAATTGACTTTTCTGAGCTTTAGTGTCCTCTTCTGTAACATGCAGTTAACATTAACCTACTGGGGGTGTGAGGATTAAATGAGGTAATCTATGTAAAGTGCTCAGAATAATCCCTGATATGTTCACCATAAATGCTTGATAAATGGATCTGCTTGGGTAACTTGATATAGTAGATCCCAGAAAAGGCTTCCTTCCTTGACTATTCAAATCTTTTTCTTTTCTCTTGTAGTTTATGACATTATATATCATCATCAAGAGAATTACGAGGATATTATATATCATCATTGGTATTTTATTGGTATTTGGTATTTGATCATTTTTCTCTACAGAATTGAAAAGTGAGAATAGTAGGGAAAAGCAGAACTATTAAACCTGGGTTCAAACCTTGCTTTTCCAATTCACTAGCTATGTGACCTTGGGAAAGACACTTAACCTCTCTGATTCTCATGCAAAAAATGGGAACAACAATACCCTCTCACAAGTGGGTTGTGGATTAGTTAAAACAATAGATGAGAGTTTGCTTAAATAAGGCCTGCCTAGCTCATGTGTTAGCTCCCCCATGTCTCCTTTTCTGACAGTACTGTTGCCACCAAACTTACCAAGTTCTGATTTTCAGGATCTCTGCCCAGTGGTTTTGGCCCTCTTCCATCCACACCCACTAAGACTTGGCACATGGTAGAAACCAATGAAGTTATTGAAACAGACCTGCCTGCCTTGCACCTGGCCCTCAGCATCCCCGTCCTGTGCCCCATCAATCCCTGCTCCCAGTGAACAGGTTCTTGCCCTCTCTCCACTGCCCCTCTGTACCCCACCTCCCAGCTCCTGTTTACTCAGAGTCTTGGCATCATCATAGCTGCAGCTCCCGCTGCTAACTGCCTCTATTCCTGGTATTCCCATTTCCCAAATCCCAAGAAATCCACAACAATGTGCTATCAAGACATTTTCTGGAGATAGGAAGGGAGAACTTGCACATTCTCATTTGGAGGACAGCTTGCTAATTGTGAATTTTTTACTTTCCCCTTTTGCTGAAACAAAACAAGATCAGCACCAGCTAAGAGTTATTTTTATGTAGGTATGCATCCCTGTTTTATGCAGGTCTAGCTGAAATCAGCCTTGACCAGTAAAGTGGAGTTCTGGCCAAGGAAAAGATAAACAGTTGAGTATTAAAAAACAAATATCAATATGTCCCAGGACCTTTAACTCTCTGCTAATAGAATCAACTCCTTAGGAATTCTCTTTTCATTTTAAGATGAAACAGAAGCCAACAAATTCTGGTTTCTTCATGCCTTAAAATAAGGGTAGTGTTGGATTTTAACTGAACTTTACATTCAAAGGGCAACATAATTAATTACATTACATAATTAATTCAGATATCCAAAGCAATTGTGGGAAATTAAGAATGAATGTAAACATGGTTTCTAATATCATTGCTTAATGTGGTTTAGCCAGCTGTGTGTGTGTATGTGTGTGTGCTTGTGAGAGAGAGAGAGAGAGAGAGAGAGAGAGAGAGAGAGAGAGAGAGAGGGAGAAATAGTAGCACATTTCTTTACCTCTCTGAGTTTTCATTTCCTCTCCTATGTAATGGAAGCAATAACAGCTTTCCCTCAGGGCTGAGTAAAGAAGAAGTGAGTTCATGTATATGAGTTATATAAAGTCACTACTGATTCCCAGTTTGATGCAATTATAGCAACCCAAGCAAGAGGAACTAACGTTTCCCAACCACCAAATATGTACCAGGAAGATAAAGATGACCAGGAGCATTATAGGGATTTCTAGGGGTGACTGACTGTAAATTACTATAAATCATTACACATTTATCCTGAATTCACCATGCTACCTTTCACTCAGGGATCAATGAGGCTGGGGGTTGAGGCTACCCTCTAAGTCTCAGCAACATGCTGAACTGAAAAGCTTTGTGGGGAAAAGCTCAAACACCTTCTATAATTTTATCACTATGCAAAAAAGGTGAAATGCGTTTCAAGCAAATGACTTGTGCCCAAAACATTTTTTAACAACAGCAAATCTGTAAGTGGGGACTACCTGAATTTAGACATTGGATTGTCTTCTCCCAGGTGGTTTTTGATTGTCACAACTAGGGACACAACTCAGGGTAGGTGCTACTGGCATCCAGGAGGTAGAGGCCAGGGATGCTGCCCAACATCTGCAGTGCACAAAACAGCCCCTACAACATATAGTTCCGAGCCCAAAATGTCAATAGTGCCAACACTGAGAAGTTCTGATCTGTAATATTAATACATTTGGATATAGATTAAATTTTCACAAAATTTGGATGATTTTATAATATGATCTTTCACATGCTAATATCATGGCCATCTTTCCATATCCATAAACATTCAATATGTCTATCTTGAAACTATTAATGGATGCACAATATTCCATTGTCCATAAATGGTGGAATATGTTGTACATATTCTATTGAGCTACCCTTCATTGTTGGACATTTAAGTCATTGTCTCTTTGTTATTTGAGACAATACGATTACAAATATTTTTAATCTACATCTTTGTGCACTGGTCCCATTATTTGCATAAGATGAATAATAAAGAATGAGATTGTTCAGTCAAAAGGTATAGGAAGCCTACATCAGCTTACACTCACACCAGCAGGACCTGAGTGTGCCTGTTTGCCTACAACATCACTGGTACTGGGCTTCCCCACTCTTCAAAAATGTTCAGTGTTTTTGTGGTGCCCAGGTCTGGCCAGACTCAGTGTTCTAGGGTGGTCTGGCTAGGATGGGTTGAGGCTAGAATGGGACCACCTCTGTTGAGAACATAGGGTGTCTGTTAGGGCAGAATTATCACTGTGTCTACTGTCACCAGGCTTCTCATTATCTTTGTTTACTACAGGATCCCGACATATCAGTCAGGCTGCAGCCAAAGTCGATGTTGAATTTGATTATGATGGGCCTCTGATGAAGACAGAAGTCCCAGGGCCTAGATCTCAGGTAAGTTGAGCACACCTGAGTGGGAGTTTTGGAAAAGAACAGAAGGGGTCAATGAAGCAAGAACACAGCTGAGCTTAGGAACTGTATTCTTAGCTGCTTTCAGAGGTTTGACCACTAGAGATCTGGGACATTATGCAAGGACATTCTTTCTACTATAAGAAGTCAAAGAAGTCTTGTCAGTGGAGCAGCATCAGTATATGCTGCCACAATAATGCTGTGTAACAATCACAAAATCTCAGTAGCATACAGATTGCTCATGCATCTAGGGTTAACTGGGAGTTGGCTAGGCAGTTCTGTTGGTCTCATCTACATGCCTGGGGAATAACTGCCCACTGGTTGGTCTAGGTTAGGCTTGACTTTGTCACTGCAGTGACTTGGCTCTGCTCCATGCATCTCTCATTCTCCAGCAAGCTGAGCTAGGCTTGTTCTCATGGCAATGGTAGAGAAGAGCATGCTATAGGTCTCTTGAGGCTCAGGCCCCACACTGGCTCACCATCACTTATACCTTGTTCTATTGGCCAAAGTAAGTCAAGAGCTGGGACAGAACATTCTACTAACAACAAAAGGATGTGGCAATTCTATATGGCACAGGACATGGGTAGCAAATGACCTTGAGCCTGATCTTAAAGGACAAACAGGAGGAACCTGCCAAAGGAGTGCATTTTGTTCTAGGCAAGGGAAAGGGTATGTGGAGAGGCAGGCATAGTGACAGCACACAGCATATGAGAGACATTAGGTAGCTCTGAATCCCTGGAGTAAATGTCAGTGTGTGACATTTGGCAATGGAAGAGACATAAGCTGAGTGATGAGGGAGACTGGAGATTCTACTCAAACATGCTTCAAAGTCTGCATACAGCACATTTTAGAAGACTGACTAACCTTGATTCTATAAAGTGACATGCAGTACTCTTCCTAATGTTTGCACCTAAAAAATCATAGTGTAAACATTTTTAGTGTCAAAATATACCCCTTTTGTCACTGCAACTATTTATAAATCCAAAAATTTTTGTACTAATAACTGATTATAGTTATTATGTAGAGCATCTGTTAACAAAAAGAAAGACTTTTTAATGCATATATCTATTGGGAAGCGGTGGGTTTTACTTCAATAGTAGTGAAATAATTTTGGAATAGTTTTTGATATTTTGTCATTAATATTTCTTTTTTGAGGTAGACATATAATTTTATAACACTAATTGCCAAAGTTTATGTTAAATCATTTTTAGAGATTAAATGTTTATAATATTAAAGCGACTGGTGTATACTCCCAGTTTCTGTACAGAGTTGCACAGTGGTTTATGGACTGTTCAGATTATAATACATGGGTCTTTGTGTGCACATTTACATTTTCAGTTGGCTTTATTTTTCTAACATGGTGTTAAGGCTTTTTTTTCCTAAATAAAAAGAAAACCCATGCTTTTATGAACACTAGGTAAACACCTTCAGCTTAAACTTTTTTTGTCAAATATTTTAGTTTACTTGATTGTCTTCCAAGTGTCTAAATCTCCAGTCTGTCTGTTGTACTGGTATTTTAACTGTCAAAAATAGTTTCCCACCTACTATTTATATTAAGCAATTTTAAAATGTTGATAATATTGTTGAGTAATTAACTATCAAAGTTATTGGCATGAAGAGGAAAGGAGCTCCAAGACTTGGGAAGACACAAAAAATTTTAAACTGCTTTGGAAGCATGTGTCCTTGCTATAATGCTTTTGCTTTTCTTGCCCACAGGAGTTAATGAAACAGCTGAATATAATTCAGGTAAGTGGGAATGAGGTAGCATTCTTTCCTTTGCTTCTCTGTTACAGTTTAGCTGAGGGACACAGGTGCTTTCTCTGTGCTGTCTCTTTCCAAAAAAAAAAAAATTATATATATACATACACACACACAGCTGGCTTTTACTCTGAACCTTTTTTCTAAGTTTCCTTGTGATTTCCTTTTTGACTCATTGGTTATTTACATGTGGTTTATTTTTCACATTTTGGTGAACTTCTCAAGTTTTCCTTTTCTGTTATTGATTTCTAATTTTATTGCATTGTGATTAGAAAATATGTTTTGTGTGATTTCAGTTCTCTTCAATGTATCAAGCCTTTTTATGGCCTAGCATATGGTCTATCCTGGAAAATGTTCTGTATGTACTTGAGAAGAACATGTCCTCTCCTGTTGTTGGGTGGGGTGTTCTATAGATGTTTGTGAGATCTGTTGGTTTAACCATTGTTCAAGTCTATTTCCTTGTTAATCTTCTGCCTAGGTAGTCAGTCCATCCATTATTGAAAACCATGTATTGAAATCTCCAATACACAGAGAACTTTCTGGTAGAACTATTTTTTTCCTTCAATTCTGTCAGTTGTTGCTGCATATATTTTGTGGCTCTTTTAGAAGGTGCTTCTACGTTTACAATTGTTGTATCTTCTTAGTGGACTGACCTCTTCTAATCATAAAATACCTATCTTCTAGTAACATTTTTTTTTTGGTTTTACAGTCAATTTTGTCTGATATTAGTATAAACCATTCCAAGTTTCTTATGATTACTGTGAGAATTGTGTATTTTTTTCATCCTTTCAAACTCTTTGTTATTCTTGAAACTAAAGTATGTCACAGGTCAATCAATAGCTTGTAGTTGAATCTTTTTAATGCAGTCTGACAGTTTCTGACTTTTGATTGAATTGTTCAATCCATCCACAGTTAATGTTATCATTGATATAGTTGTGTTTACATCTTCCAGTTTACATTTTTTCTCTGTCTCATATCCTTTTTGTTCCTCTGTTCCTCTTTTTATTTTTTTTTCATTTTTACTTTTTTTTGCATTGAGTGACTTCTAGTGTAACTTTTTTATTTCTTTCATAATTACTATTTTTTCTTCTGATTTTCTTAGTGGAAGCTCTAAGGCTTACCACATACATCTTACCAGAATCGTCTTCAGAGTTATATATCAACCATTTTGTTGTGATATATAAAACACATACAGAAAACTTCATACACTACAAATTCACAGTTTAATAAATTATCATAAAGCAGATTTGCTAATCCGTGTAATTACCCCAGGGCAAGAGATGTGACCTTGCCAGCACCCACAGAGACCTTCCATGTGTCCATAGAATAGTCAGGTCATGGGTTTTTTCACTAATTCAAGTTTAATCCTAAAGATTGAGAATGAGACTGACTAAGGCTGTTTTTTCCCCAAAGAATGCAGAGGCTGTGCATTTCTTCTGTAATTACGAAGAGAGCCGAGGCAACTACTTAGTTGATGTGGATGGCAACCGAATGTTGGATCTTTATTCCCAGATCTCCTCTGTCCCCATAGGTAAGAGCTGGAAAATCAGTCTTTGAATGTAACTCCCTCTCTCTCTTAGTTGTGGCCCCCTGGACTTAAGTGGATTCCCCTTGGATTCACAGGTCTGTAGGCTGAGTGTCCAGTAACGTCTGTCCCTTCATGGATGAAGCTGGACTGTCCCAGCTCCCTGTCAGCAGCTCCCCACCCCCAGCACCCTGAGGCCTTTCCCCTGAAACCCACAATTAGGTCTCCAATCCTCCTCTGCTCTCCCCCGTCAGTCCCTTGAACCTGTTTATTTCCCATTAAGATGCAATTAGACAGTAGGTGGGTGACTCATTCTTTTTGGAAAATCCCATTGTTTGGAGATGCCTCGGCCTTTGAAGGCATTTTGGATGCTAAAATTTACAACCCATATCTCCATTTTGTGTCTGAGTGAAAGGGATTAGATCTGAGCTCCACCATATATTAGCCGTGAGACTGTCAGACTGTCGGTCCGCCAATGTCTCCCCAGCTGATTCCTCCATCCTCCTTCTCACCCCCAGGGCTTCCTCAGTTGCAGTCCCCAGCCAGCCAGTGTGTGTGTTGGGGGTGTGGGGATCAGACCTGCACAGTTGTTAAAAGACTAGAACTTCTAAGTTTCTCTCTCTGGCCACTTTGCCTTCCATATCTATGTTCTTTGAGATGGTTTTTTTAAACTAATAATTACTGAGAATTTGCTGTATGCTTAGAATATTGCTAAGTGCCTAACATGTTATCTCATTAAATCCCTAAACAGCCCCATAATGTTAAGTCTTTTAATAGCACTACCGATGAGGAGCCAGCTTTCAAGAAAGTACAGGGTTTGCCCAGAGTGTCCAGGAAGCCAAAGGATTTGAGCCAGTAACTCTCTGCCACCTAACCTTACTCCTGTGATTGCAACTTCCAAGAGAGCCACCCCTGCCCTGCCTTGCCCTGTTCTGCCCTGCCCTGCCCTGCCCTGCTGTGGGGGGGCAGTTCACAGCTTTGAAAGCCCAGAGGTAGGACTACACTGATCAGAGGGACCAGCTCTACTTTCATCTGTCCTGAAGCCAATAGACAAGCTGAATTTGTGGATTAATGAGATTTCCCTGAACCTGCTTATCTGCTGAGGCAGAAAAGTCATAAACACCCAGACAGCGTGATAAAGAGCCAGAGCTGAAAGACCTCTTGCCAGAAAACAGTTGGAAAAAACCCACAGAGTGTTCCTTCCTTGAGCAATAAGCGCTTTCCAACCTTAGGCCCAGCTTACTTTAGATCATCATGGGGAGGAGTAAGGACATAGGGGAAGACTGTCAACAATCCTCTCCCTTGGTTTCTCCCCTAACTCCCTGAGATCATGCTCCCTGTAGCAGGCAGAGTGAAACCACAAGCTTTTCACTTCTGTTCTCTTTGATTCCATGGAGAAGTTCTCCCCTGGGTGATGCTGAGTCTTTAATTCCTGTCCAAATTTGCTGATCTCTTATTCTGGAGGCACCAGGCCCCAATCTCAGAACTGTGGAAAGGCCTCTCACCATAATGTTATAAAGTCTCCTTTCGAAGTAAATTTATTTAAATTGAAAAGTGAATTGAGTGAAAGAAAATAAGTACAAGGTATGTGTGGAACTTGAAGACTGAGAGTTTTTCCAAGTGTTACTTCCTGCTCCAAGATTTGTAGATGAGTCAATCTTTTCTCACATATGACAGTTCTGGGTTCTTGCCATGTCACTGGATTCTCTGCATTATTCATTTGTTCAACGAATGTCTGTTGAGCTGAACACTTGCCACTGCCTTTAAGATTCGTACAAACTGGTCTCCTGACCTCTGTGCTTCCTACAAACTTGACCATCCTGTGGGAGTTGTTGCCAGGATTTGCAATAATGAACAGAAAGCCCCCTGCACAGTAAGATACTCAATAAATGGAAGTAAAGGGTTTGAACTCAGGGCATCTGGCTCCAGTGCTATGTAGTTCTGTCTTACACCTCCCTCCTTTTCAATAAAAGCTTCTATTTATTGAACATCAACTATGTGCAGGGGCCTTTTTCTTCATTATTGCTAACCCTGGCAACAGTTGATCTGCTTTGATGGACTTCAGGTTGCTTTCAAGCTTAGAGATATTGGAGTGGCACAATTAAGATATGTGTACATTGGTCTTTATATATACGTGTAGGATAAATACATAGAAGAGTGATTGCTGAATGAAAGAGTGTCTTAAACCTTGTCATGGAATGTCAGGCCCAAGCTGGACAGTAAATGCAACAGGACTCTGGGAATAATTAAATGTGGGAAGGCAGAGCCAGATATGCTGGTCACAGATTGCAGGTTGTATCACTCACACACCCTGTTCCTGAGCAAACATTTATTGCAATTTGACTTGATCTACAGGCACTGGGGGAAAAAGGAAGGACCACATTGTGATTCATCACGTGGGTCTAGGGAGCCACCCCCAGCCCTTGAAGAACATTTTCACCTGCACTCACCTACTCTTATGTCTGTCTAGCTCTGTAGGTCTCAAACCTGAACCCCAGAATTACCTAGAGAACTTGTTGAAGATTTCTGGGCTGCACCCTGAGAGATTCTGAGTCAGGGGATATTGGTGGGCCCAGGAATGGGTCTTAAGTCTGCAAAGGATAAAAAGTTCCCTTGCCATAAGAAAAGGTTGGAAAGGAGGGGAGAGGCAGCCAATGGGGGAGGGAGCATGGGGACCCTCAGGTATAATGTTGGTCTCTAACCATATTCCCCCTCCCCAGGCTACAGCCATCCTGCGCTCCTGAAACTCATCCAACAGCCTCAAAATGCGGTAAGTCCCTAGGTTATACAGAATAAATCCCAAATGTGTTCATGGTAATTCAGTGGGGCACCTTTGGAAATGGTCCATTCATTCATTCCACAAATATCTTCAAGCACATACTATGTTCTAGTCACTTAGAATACGTTGGTGAGCAGAAACACAGCACCCACTCCCATGGAGGCAGTCAATTCTCTACACATAAGCAGAGAATCCCAACGATACTAAGTGCTGTAGAGTGAGGTAAGCCATACTGTGTGGGCATAAAACAATGATGATGATAATAATGACAAAAAATAACAAAGCATCGTATGTATAGTAACCCCCCTTGGCTACAGTTCCACTTTTTACAGTTTCAGGTACCCACAGTAACCCGTGATCCAAAAGTATTAAATAGAAAATTCCAGAAATAAACAATTTGTAAGTTTAAATTGTGCACTGTTCTGAGTGGTGTGATGAAATAAATGAAATGGTCAGAATATGCCAGGACGTGGGCTCAGCCAAGTGCTCTGTTCAGGGTCTTGAAAAGCTGAAATCATCTCTTAGCTGGAGGCTATGAGGAAGAATCTACCTTGGGGCTCATTCAGGTTGTTAGCAGAATTCATTTCATTCTCATAATTTCCATATGATCTCACCATCTTCCTGTCAGCAACCCCAGTTCAAACCTCCGCGCTGTCTTCCACCACTGTTTCTGCTCTCAGCAAAAGGCTCATGTAGTTGCACTAGGCCCACCCAAAAAATCCAGAGTAATCTCCCTATCTGAACCAATTGGGAACCTTAATCACACCTGCAAAGTCCTTTTTGCCCTATAACATATTCATGGCCCCAGGGTTTGACATCTTTTTATAATATAATAGCGTGTGTATATATATGTTTATATGATATGGTATATCAGGTGTGGCATATGCTATGGTAATACCACATAGCCATCTGTGTTCTCTGTCACAGTGGGATGTTTTTCACCTCCAGTGAGAATTTATTAATTACAGGTGGTCCCCACTACATGCCCACACCTCGTTACTGTTCCCCCAGACCATTTCCTTTATTCTGACAACACAGGTGTGTTTTTTCCATTCTTTCTTGACACATAAATGGAATCACACAGTGTGTACTTTTCATCATGTCTAGCTTATTCACTCCAAATCTGTGTGTGTGATTCATCGTCATGATGCAAAGCCACACACCATCTATTCCCCGGGCTGTAGAGCCATCCAGTGTGTGAGCACACTGCAATTAGTGTGTCCATCCCACTGTTTGTGGGCATTTGGGTTGTTCCTACAAAGGCCACTGCTGTGAACATTTGAGTATGGGTCTTCCAGTGACCACAGCCATGGTCTCCAGGGGATACAAAGCAAGGAGTGGAGCTGCAAGTCATCATAGTGTGCAGACAGTTTCCAAACTGGTCGTCAATTTCTACTCCCCTCAGCAGTGGGGTGAGTTATGGTCCCTCCACATCCTCACCAGTACCAAGTATCATTGGGAGGGGACTTTCATTTTACTCAGAGCGTGACATGTGCATCCACACATAACAAGGAGTATGAATCCCTTCAGAAATCTAAGAAAGGCAGGGGAGGGCTGAGAGCCCAACCTCAACCAACTCCAGGCTTTAAACTTTGTGCCCTTTGAACCTGCACGGTGGGAGATAATAGAAAAGAAAGACATTTCCCTCTTTATAAATGGGTATGTCCTTCCTGGGAGGGACTTAGGGACATTTCTGCCCTTCGTTAGTTGACAAGTTCAGGGGCTGCAGTAGAGGACTCCTGAGGGCATCTCGGGTGTGCAGGCTCTGCGGGTGTGTTTACATTCAAAGCCTGACTTTGTTTTGAAACATTGTGCAGATCCCAGATGCCTCAGCAGTTGGTGCTGGAAAGAATGTGTCAACAAACATGTCATACACATTTGCAGTGTCAGCTGCCTTGGGAAGCAGAATCGTCCCGAACAACACGTGACTTTAAGGGCCAGGGATTCTGATTTTGGGGGATGCCCTGCCTCCACCTGACCCTGCAAAGAACCTGGATGCCACACTCCATCCTCCCTCACTGTAACCCTCACCTCTCAGACAGTCAGAACCTGTCGTAGCTCTGCATCTTCCACTTAACAGATTCTTTTCCTCTCCAACTGTTCCGAGCTCCACATCCATTCTCATCTCCTCCAAATTGCCCTCCAAACTGCCCTGTGCACGGAACCCTTTCTGGGTACCCACTCCCTGTGGACACCTCCCACTTTAAGTGCAAAGCCCTTTGTGATCTGCCTCTCACTTCTTCAGTCTCATTTCTTGACATTTGCTTATTTGCCAACTATTGTTTGAATACCTACTATGTGCTGGACACTGTACTGGTGCTGGGATTGGATGGTGAAGTCACAGTCTAGATTACAGCCTGAATCACAGTGTTGACCTTGTTATGCAGAGGACTGAGTTTGGGCAGGGTGACTAGCACAGTCTTAGAGAAATGGCAGCTAGCTGCCCCTAAGCTCAGCAGGTACACCCAGGGCATCAGGCTCGGTGACCACTGGTTGACCTCTGGAGTCTTCCAAATTCTTGGCTGGAGATGTGCTCAGGTGGTGGTTATGGTATTTTATCTGCCCTGCACAGATTCCTACCAAGTCATTGAAGTCCCGAGGAAGGGCTTATCAACCCTCTGTTCCCCAGTCACAGCACCCTGAAAATTCCACATCGTTACTTCAGGTGGGTGGAAAAAATGAGGCCATGTCTTCTGGATCCAATATCTGGGTTCCAGTTACAATTTCTTACATAGTCCAGGCCGCATCATTGCAATGCCCACAAGTTATGCAATGATTATTGGGCACTATACGTGCACCTTCACACTGTAATGAATGGTGAGTGCAGTCTGACATCCGTGGCACCTGGGGTGGACATAGGACAGCTGGCCAGGTCAAGTAAGACATGTGCCATCCCTGTGACCTCTGGGCCTTTCCACCTGTGTGACTCTGTCCTTCAAGACTGGGCTCCTACCTCATCTGAGTGTTGTGTCATCCATCTGGCTCCTCACCAGCACCCAGGCAGGGACCCTGTTCTGGCAGATGAAGACCCTGAAGTCCAGAGAGTTTCAGTAACTCGCCCTAGTTTGTACAGTCCCTTAAACCAAAGTCTGTTCTCTTTACATTGCACATTAGGGCTGCTGAGTCTGACAGCAAGGGTTCTAGAAACCTGTCCTCATTTGATTCTGCTACCGTACTCAGCTATCTTCTGTTCTTAATGTTATGCTTTGCTAAACAAGAACATCACCCACACATCTTCCCTGGGCCTACATAGGCAATCAAGCTGCCAGCCAGCCTGGCAATCCCCAATGTGAGTCGCTTCCACCTCTGCCTGTGATGGCAGTTCGCCTCTACCTTTATCTCTTGATAGGCTTGATTTCTCAGGAGTCCCACTCAGAGCAGAACCAAAAGAAATGCCCTTTGAAGTCCCTACAGGCCAGCCAAGGTCCCTGGGTTGCACGGAGCAAACTCACAAGCATCATTAACATTATCAGGCAGAGGCTGCCTACAGTATCTGGCAAATGAATCTGGATGGAATCTGAAGTCAGCAAACCTGGATTGGAGTCATGGTTCTGCCCCTTCCTGGCTGCCTGACTTGGGACAAGTTGCTTGACCTCTCTGGTTCTCAGTTTCCCTGACTCTCCAATGAGAAGCATTAACTGCCCCGGCTACTTATCCTAGTCTGGAGTATGAATCTGCCACAATGTCTAGCATTCAGAGCCAAATTCCTCAGCAACCAGGAGGCTGAGTTCTGGGGGTCCTCTCTCCTCCTGTGCAGTGATTCCACTATTTGGATTTATGTTGAGCTAATTGTACCAACTGTCCAATAGAGAGAGTGACCCGAGAAGTCCCCAGATCCCAGGCTCAGTAAATCCTTGCTCTTTTTCATTAAATATTTTATTTTAGACTAATTTCTGATTTACAGACAAGTTGTAAAGACAGTTTCCATCTACCTTTCACCCATTTCCCCCCAATATTAACACCTCACCTCTCCATGGTATCCTCATCAAAACTAAGAAATTAACCTTCATGTATTATATACCACAGACTCTACTCAGATTTCCTGTTTTTCCACTAATGTCTACTTTTTTGTTCCAGTCCAAGATGCTGCATTGCATTTAATATAATCCCTTTTTATAACCCAAACCCAGTTCTGGGTGATCTCACTTTTTATCCACTGTGCAGCCCCTCCCAGATTCTTCCCAGTCCTGCCAGGGAGACTGGCTGGACCTCGAGGGATGGGATGGCTCTGCTCTTATTCTGTCTGCATTTCCATCTGTGTCTTTTCGATAATGGTCAACACATATCATTATACATCTGTCACAACCCATAAAATGTATGACACCAAGCACGAACCCTGATATAAAATTGTAACCTTTTTAAACACCATTTTACTAGCCACAGAACATCACCATGAGTTAAAATGGCTTAGATTACATAACCTACTGTCCACATTTAGAGAGTTTCTCCTTTTTTTTTGTTGTAAGTAACACTACATGAATAATTAGATCTATAGCCTTTTGCCCACCTTTGAAATTGTATCTTTAGAGGAGGCCTAGAAATGAGATCACTGGGTCAGAGTGTAAAATATTATAAGGCTCTTAACACACATTATTAACATGTCTTGTGTTTGAAAACTCTACCCTGATCAGTGTCCTTCCAGAACTGGACATTATCTTTTTCTTCACTTTAGGAAAGTATTCAAGGCCCAGCTGGTGGGGAATTTGGGACCATTGGCTCTGTGTGTGTATCTAACCCTGTTGCATGAACAGCTAACAACAATGCCTGTGTTTTGAAGCCAGGAAGGCAGGGGCTGCTTTTGTTCAAGAATGCAACTACATGAGTATGGGACTATCGCTCTGCCAGAGATTGTTTTGGGAAAAGTTTGGCCAGCTTTTTAAAATGGGGCAATTTCCCAAAATCTGTGTTTCTGTTTTCTTTTGAAATTTGGAGGCTTTGGTTCCCTCCGACTGAGTCCCTGCTCTGTAGTCATAGGGCAGGGCTGACTGACCCTGGCACAAACAAGTTCTTAGAAGCCAGTAGGCCCCCTCATGTCCTGAGTACCAAAAGTGAGTCTGTTTAGCATCAGGCTTGCACTGTTAGTTTCCCTGCAGAGGGAAATACTCCATGGGACCTACATCTATAAAAATTAGGGGGAAAATCAACAAAGAGGGTCAAATAATTTTTCTAACATTGTATTTCTCATACTCAGCCCATCCTGTTTATTTACACAGTTCCCTCATCAGAGCCCTCTCCTAAACCCTGCTCCATTTAGAAATCTTTTAAAGTATATTTTATTGATTATGCTATTACAGTTGTCCCATTTTTTTCTCCCTTTTATTCTCCTCTGCCCAGCACCCCCCCTTCACCACCAGCACTGCTCCCCACCTTAGTTCCATGTCCATGGGTCATACATATAAGTTCTTTGGCTTCCCTGCCCCTGTCTATTTTGTACCTACCAATTATGCTCCTTATTCCCTGTACCTTTTCCCCCAGTCTCCCCCCTCCCCACTGGAAACACTTCATGTGATCTCTATTTCTTTCTATCTTTTTAAAATTACTTTATTGTCCAATAATGGTTGTCTGCATTTTCCCTTTACCACTCCCCCCAAACCCAGCCAAATCCATCTCCCTTCCTTGCTTCCATCCTCCCCCTTGGTTTTGTCCATGTGTCCTTTATAGTAGTTCCTGAAAACCCTTCCCCCCAGTCCCCGCCCCTTCCCCTCTGGCTATTGTTAGATTTTTAATGTCTCTGGTTACATTTTGTTTGCTTTTTTCTTTTGTTGATTATGTTCCAGTTAAAGGTGAGATCATGTGGCATTTGTCCCTCACAGCCAGGCTTATTTCACTTAGCATAATGTTCTCCAGTTCCATCCATGTTGTCATAAAGGGTAGGAGCTCCTTTCTCTCTGCTGCATAGTATTCCATTGTGTAAATGTACCATAGTTTTTTGATCCACTCATTTACTGATGGGCACTTAGGTTGCTTCCAGCACTTGGCTATTATAAATTGTGCTGCTATGAACATTGGGGTGCATAGGTTCTTTTGGATTGGTATTTCAGGGCTCTTAGGGTATAATCCCAGCAGTGGAATTGCTGGGTCAAAAGGCAGCTCTATTTTTAGTTTTCTGAGGCAATTCCATACTGTTTTCCATAGTGGCTGCACCAATATGCATTCCCACCAACAGTGCATTAGGGTTCCCTTTGCTCCGCAACCTCTCTAACACTTTATTGATTTGTTAATGATGGCCATTCTGACTGGTATAAGGTGGTATCTCATTGTGGTTTTAATTTGTATCTCTCTGATGGCTAGTGATGCTGAGCATCTTTTCATATGTCTCTGGGCCCTCTGTATGTCCTTGGAAAAGTGTCTGTTCAAGTCTTTTGCCCATTTTTTAACTGGGTTTTTTGTCTCCCTGGAGTGGAGTTATGTGGGTTCTTTATATATTTTGAAGATCAAACCCTTGTCTGAGGTATCATTGGTAAATATGTTTTCCTATATACTTGGTTCTCTTTCATTTTAATACTGTTTTCTTTAGCCATGCAGAAACATTTTAGTTTGATGAGGTCCCATTTGATTATTCCTTCTTTTATGTCCCTTGCTTTAGGGGACATATCAGTGAAGATGTTGCTGCATGGAATGTCTGAGATTTTCCTGCCGATGTTTTACTCTGGGATTTTAATGGTGTCATGGTTTATATTTAAGTCTTTTATCCACCTTGAATTTATTTTTGTGTATGGTGTAAGTTGGTGATTGAGTTTCATTTTTTTGCATATAGCTGTCCAGATCTCCCAACACCATTTGTTGAAGAGGCTATTTTCATTCCATTTTATGTTTCTTCCCACTTTGTCAAATATTAATTGACCATAGCAACTTGAGTTTATTTCTGGGCTCTCTGTTCTGTTCCATTGGTCCATGTGTCTGTTTTTATTCCAGTACCAGGCTGTTTTGATTACAGTGGCCTTGTAATATAGTTTGATATCAATTATTGTGATCCCTCCTACTTTGTTCTTCTTTCTCAAAATTGTCGTTTATGGTTCCATATAAATTTCTGAGATGTTTGTTCTATATCTGTGAAATATGTCATTGGTATTTTAGTAGGGATTGCATTGAATGTCTAAATCACTTTGGGTAGTATGGACATTTTGATGATGTTAATTCTAATCCATGAACATGGTACATGCTTCCATTTGTTTGTGTCTTCCTTAATTTCTTTCTTCAGTGTTGTATACTTTTATGAGTACACGTCTTTTACCTCCTTGGTTAGGTTTATTCCTAGGTACTTTATTTTTCTTGTTGCTATATCAAATGGGATCTTTTCCCTAATTTCTGTTTCTGATATTTCATTGCTGGTGTACAAAAATGCCTTTGATTTCTGAATATTAACTTTGTATCCTGCTGTTTTGCCAAAATCATTTATTAGGTCAAGTAGTTTTTGGTGGAGTGTATAGGATTTTCTATGTACACTATCATGTCATCTGCAAACAATGACAGTTTTGCTTCCTCCTTTCCAATTTGGATGCCTTTTATTTTTTTTTTCTTGTCTGATTGCTGTGGCCAGGACTTGTGATATTATGTTGAATAGGAGTGGTAAAAGCGAGCATCCTTTTCTTGTTCCTGATCTTAGTGGGAAAGCTCTAAGTATTTACCCATTGAGTATAATGTTGGCTGTAGGTCTCTCATATA